CAAGGAGCAGTCGGCAGCGGGAAGCAGTTGGAACCGGAACAAACATGGCGGCTAATTGGACCTCATCCAGCCCACCCAAAAAGGAAGGCGACCAATGACCTCTTTTTCCCCCTCCTGCCCCTGCAAGTTGCTGCCGCCGGATCTCGCGATTTACCCTCCCCTGGCCCCCCCTGTCTGTCGCTTTGGGGGGATGTGATAGGGTGATAGGGCGGGCTGGGGGGTTGGTGGTGTAGTTGACTAGGCCCGGAACGGGGGATTTTCCTCTTGGAGACCTCTGGGAACCCTCATAGAAGACGGATGGGCTTGCGAATCTCCTTCCTGAATTCGACGCTTTTGGACTGCTTGCAAGGCATGGCAACCACGCATGGCATGGCACGGCACAGCGAGGCACGGCGCAGGCACAGGTGCTGCGAGGGACCTCGCGTCTGCACCGCATCACGTCCCGGCCATGCATTACTCCCTCCTTTGCCTGGCCTGGCGTTGTCTGAAAGACTGCCAGGTGCGAAAGGTGACAAGGTTTGTGTGGTGTCTACCCGGTCCCGTGTATGTCCTGTGTATGGATGTCTGTGCGAGCGAACAGGAGGATCGAGAAGATCCCCTAGCCTCTTCTTTATGGTACTCCCATCCCTACCCCTTCTGCGAGTGCCTTTTTTTCAAGGTCTTTACTGTTCTTGCTGCCGTCCCTTTTCCTGATGCCTGGACCCACGTCGAAATCTCCTGGTGTTTTGCTGGTGGTGTGTAGGCAAGGGTTACCGAAGGGTGGGTGCTTGCTCGCGCATCGCGCCAGGGTCGGACGATTGGCCAATTCATGAGCTTGCTTGCCAGTGCTTGGAGACGCGGGACGGATCCAGGATCGGGTGGGGTTGCATTTTGTGCAAGGGGCCAGGAACAGGACAAGGGGGGTGTCGAAGAGGTAAAGATCCACCTTTTGGAAGACAGAACCGAATCGAAGAAACCGATGTGCCAGCCACGCCAGCCCCGTTTTCTGCTTCATTTGGCTGGATGCGGGTGCGGGTGCGAGGCTTTTCTCTGCGTCAGTTTGATTTGTGCTTGCGCTTCACTTGCAGTTTGACACGGCAAATGTGAGGGCTCGAAGAGACAGATTCGACGGGAGAGGGAAACACCAAACTTGTGGGTTTGGTCAGGGTTGTCCCTTGTTTCGTTTCCTGGCCGGCCTTACCGAGTCCCTGGACTTGTCACGGACTCGCACGCCCAGGGCCGTCGGACTTTTTTTTTTTTTTTTTTGTTTCGCTCTCGCCCGTCTCTGTCACACCGCATGTCTTCTCACTCATCGATTGCCCCTCCTTTGCCGGGCTCTGAGGTGACCCGCTTATGTGAGGTTTGCTGGTGAGGCATGTGTAGTTATCAGGGGGCAGCCTGCTGAGGTAATTGTGAACATCTTGAGGTGTTGGTCGCCGGCATTCGATCCGCGAGGTCCCCGATATCCTGCCTTCCATCTTGGGACTACGCCGACGTCCAGGAGAACGTTGAAAATGTCTCCGATCTAACCCTTATCCGTCCTAGTTCGTTGCAATTGAGCATGAGCCCTGAAGATATGGACTTGTAGGGCAGAAGAAAAATCGGCAGCAAAACTTGGGAAGGGCATGGTCATCTGACCGCCCGCCTCGACGACAACAGAATGTTCACTTCAATCTTGACCTGTCAACTCGAGACTCTCAGCCCGGCTGTTCTGTCAAGGTGACTGCCGGGTTGCATAAACCCACGTGCCGCCAAACCAACGAGCAAACTGATCCGAGGCAGAGCTCCTCTGGCAGGCAAGCTTCTGCAGCACAACAAAATCTCGGGTTCTCTCCGTGTGATGCGACCGTGTGGACAAGTTGGGTTTGTTGCTCTCTCTCAGCTGCGCCCTCGCCGACAGAAGCTCCAATTCTAAGACACGGAATGTGGGGTTGGCTTCCCGGTCCTTGGGTTCCAAAGCCCTGCGAAGGGCACGAGAAAAATGGCGGGGTTGACAACAGCGTAAGAGGGCCCCTTGTCTCATCGTAGACCCTTGCTCGGAGTCCCGAATCGGAATTGATCTGACTTTTACTCCCACGAAGGAGGAAGCTGACTGCTGCACGAGAAGAAAGCTCTAACAAAACCGTTGAGCCCTGTCCCGTAGCGTCAGGATTAGCCTGCTTAGTCCATGCCCGAGGCAATTGAGCGAGAGAGCGTTTGCACGTGGGCTGTCGTCGGCTCTCACATGAGAGAACGTGGCTTACCCGCCGTCGTCGGCAACCAAGCCTGGAGTCGGTGAAGCGATTGAGGAGAACCTGGGCATTGAATGGAGCGGTGATGTTCTAGAGCACCGATACTCAATTCCTCCCTCGGGGTGGGGGGGGGTCGGAGAAGGAGCTTGCACCTTGACGGGTTGGTCCACCGTTTCCACTGAGAGAGAACTCGAGTCTCGAGTCCCTTCAAGGTGAGATACACGAGATACTGCGAGGTCTGTTGACTGTTGAATATGCTCAGCCAGCTTGCATGGTCGGAACTAGTCAAGGACCAATGGAGTCAAGCCAACTACGCTCTCGACAACCCAGAAAGGGCAAAGTTCGGTTCGCCAATGACTTGCCTTGCTGGGCTGTGAGCGATTGTTTCTTCTCGCGGGCTTTGGAAACAGCACAGCTTGTCTCGTGCTCCACGTTGTAAAGTGCCGCGGAGTGGAGTTCGGGATCTTGGATGGTGGAGAGCGGAACCGGAGACCGAAGATCTGGAGCCCAGCCCCTGTTTCAGTCCTTCCTCGTCAGGCCCGCTTTCTGAGACAGCTTGAGGCTGTGTTTGGTGCTGTTTGCGAAGTTTGCAGAGAGCGTTGTTGGCTCATCGGAGTTATTCGCTGATCACTGGAAACAAACGGGCGATTCTTCTGCCGCGAAAACCCTGGCGTCGTGTTTTTGTTAGGGCTGCCGAAACGGACCCGAACTGTCGTTATCAACTCCGATTGCACCGTCTCGGGGCGGAGGGCACATCGTCCACGCGGCCCGCCCCTCTTTCGTATCCGCCTCCAAGCCAGTGGGGGGCGCGAAAACTACACAGTATGCGGGAGCTGTGCCCGTTAACGGTCAATGAGCGGAGCCGTCGTCAACACCTGCAGCCAGCGGACGGCGGTTACCTGCGAGCGTCCTGCGAGCGTCCTGCGTCTGAATCCATCTCGATGGACGGGGGAAACCGCCGCGGTCGCATTGGCTGCTGCCTGGGTCCACGGTGCAACCACGCGTCGCGCAACGCGAGATGGAAGCAGAGTTCCCAGCCGCTGCCGCGTCGTTTGGGTTGGGCTGAGCCGAGTCTTTTTGTATCAAGATTGCTGGTAGCGAAAATGAGGGCCTTCCAGACCCGAGCTGATGGTGGGTTCATGTCAACCCGCTTGGGCTGAAGACCACCGCGGCCTTGCATAGTTGGTCTTGTTCAACCCTCATATACTTCATGGTGCAGATATCAACCGCATAACCGAGGACTTAACCAACCAGGTTTAAGTCATGGGCGGGAAGGTCAATACTATACCCAACAACTGCGGCCGGGTGTTGGCCGCTTTGGTTCCAGAGGGAGGAACGAGAGGGCCCTGTCTTTCGCTCTCCCTCGATTCAGCGGTGGCCCGCAGAAAACAGACCGGTCAAGGCGATGGTTTGTGATGCAAGGGCGGCGCCAAACACAGTTGCAAGCATCCCGATGGGATCTTGTTAGCGTGCAGAAGGAAGCCCGCCCAGCTGGTTAAACTAGCCCTTTTTGGGTTGAAGCCACCTGGCGGATGCAGGGGCCGCGGCTGACAGGGTCAGTTTCCCGCCACCCAACCAGCATCTCGAGCAAGGCCTGCCGAGGCCTGCGACACACGCTCGCATTTCAGAAGATGAATATGCATGCAGCCATTTGGACATGGCTCAGCGCGAACAGCCATGCAGAGATCAGAAGCTTCAGCAAGGATTCTCGACAAGAGGCGGAAGATGACGTGATCTCTCGATCTGGCGAGCAGCGGCCCGGATCCTTCGTCCTCTCATTCGTACACGATATGCGCGAAGAACCTCTTGTGTCAGGTTCCTTTGATGATACCGCCGCAACGAGGAAACCGAGCTCGATATTGGCGGTTTCGTCGTTGTCCTGGTCAACTTGTCGGCTGAGCGGTTGGACGGATGAATCGAAATAACCCGGGCCGACTTGCTCTCCGAGAGCGCCTGATGTTGGAGCTTGTGAGCCGCATTTTGCTGCTGAGCGGGCCGATTGAGAGGGTTTGACAGAACCAACAGCTAGGAAATCAAGGCTTTCCAGTATTACCCGACGGGTTTTCCCTCGGGCGGCCGCGGATAGTTACATCATCAGTTCGGTGATGAACATCAGCCGCTTTGGGCATCGAGGAGCGATCACCCGTCTTTGCGCTGATCGCGTGGTGTCGATGGTTGTCTGGACTTCGTAGCGCTGGAGCGTTGTCGTCAAGGGCACGCCGTGACGGGCGATGAAATGTGGATTCCTACTGCATGTGCTGGCATGGCGGAGCTGCTACCATTGAAGATCCTTGATGAGAACCTGGAAGACTGTATCCATGTCGACGCGTTGAGCTCGGGGTGTGATGCGGGTGAGTGCATAGCATTGATTGGCCAATTCCAGCTGCAAGCGATGGAGAACTCTCCCATATCGGCTTCCCAGGGGCGGGCTGCTCCTAATTATGATACTGTCATCTTCGCGTGGGTTCGGAGCTCTTGATAGCGGGCGTCGAAATTACCCTTACAACTTGCTGTGCTGTACTGTGTATGTAATAGGTCTGATATTGGCCGAAATCCTGGAGTCGAGGACCTTCGTTTCGGTTATCTCCAGCTGAGGACCCTGTGTTGCTGACAAGATCAAATCTCTTCTCGCTGGCGTCATCGGCCTGAGCGGTCGATCATCAGGGGTGCGCACCGCAATCCATGGCGCTCCGAACAGTCCTCGGATACAGAAAGCCTCGCCGACTTGCGAGGGCTTGTTGACCCTCTCGCCCATTGTCGTCGGCGGGTTGATGATGAATGCGGTGTCTGGCCCCCTGCAGTTACCACTCCAGGGTTCCTGATCCTGCGAAACTTACTTAGCGTAGTTTGTGGCCGATTTACTAGCCACACCGGCATACTGCCGGCTCCGTTGCGCGCGTCAGACAAGGTGTGGCTTAACAAATCGAACGGGGTTGAAGCTGGCGGATTTTGGGATCACCGCGACGCTAAAAAGGCCTGTAACGGGCGGCTTTGAGGCCCGTGAGTCGACAACCGGAAGCCTCTTCCGTGGTTGCGATTCCGATCAGCCTCTCATTAGTGAGAACAATTTAGCCGGAGACATTTGCATCGCCCAACACTGAATCTACTCTTGTCCTCGCTGGATGGAAGATCTGAAGCAAGACATCGTGTCGCAGGAACTTTCGAGTTTTGTGTGGGTGTGTGTGTCGAATCCTTTTTTTTTTTTTTGTAGACAAGGACGGAAGGGTTGATTGAGCAATCGGAGTGGACCTGGCTAGAATCGAGTCAACGTTATCGTGGTTTCGAGTAATCAGTGGATCATGCCAGTGTGTGTGCTCCGACTCGGCTTTACGTGGGGTTTTCTGCCCGCAAGAAGCAGGAGGGAAGGATGGAGCTGGCTGGGTCACCAACCCATCTCTCAAGACCTACCAAAACCAGGAGGGACGACGCTGCAATTCATGCAGGCGCGATTCCTTCATACGGAAATCTCGCGCCAATCCTGGGCAAAGGTTCCTTGCCTTCCCTCTTTCATCTTCGAACCCTGCAAATGCAGATGCACTGCAAAATGTGGAGGACTCGGAGGCCACACATGGAAAACGGCGCCGACCCAGTTCCTCGGCAAAAACTCAAAAAATCCCCAGATTTTCAAAAAGGCGGCATCGCATCGCACTGTGATGTTTGCCAACGGTCTGGGTCTGGGTTTTGGGTCCAGGCTAGGACCCCCGTCCCGCCTCCCCGGACTGTCGCCCGTTGAAGGTCAAGAGACCTCAATGTTACGGTGTCTTCCCTCCGTCGAGGTGCGGGGATGACCGGCCTTCCCCAGACCCGAGAATCAGAAGAACCCACCCAGGATCGAACCATTCCCTGATCAGATGTCATGGGCTCGACATCGCGGAGCCGGTGAGGAGGGGAAGCACACTGCTTGGCGCCTACACAACTCGATCATGGCGGATGACCGACCGAGGCCACTTTTCTCTCCATGTGAGTCGCTTCGCTTGTCTGCCAACGCCGATCACAAGTGAGTCTCTCCGTCCCAAGAATCGCAATGAATCTGCGGCAGCCGGAGGCTTGCCGACATGCGATTGCGACACGCAGACGACGACGACAGCGAATCAAGCCTGGCAGGGCTAAATCTGCCGTATGGTGATACATGTACATCGGGCCCAGGACGGCAGCTTGCCTATACGCACGAGACTGGCGAGGTTGTATTCGCAGAGGCGACCGGCACGCGACAGCATGTCTGGGACATTTGGGACGTCTGGAAGCAGCATCGAATACCCAGCAGTGTGTCACGGCTTAATAGCCACAAATTGGCGGCAAGCTGCTTCCCGGTGCGACGCTGCAACGGAGCCCAATATCCTCCGCGCGCCGTGCGGTGCTTGCTGGCTGGTCGACAGGACGAAGGGGCCGCTGGTGGATATTGCTTGACCAGCGTTGGTTCTGTCGCTCACTCTTTCGGTCGTCATACTCGCTGACATGGTGGAGGCTGGCTCATTTGAGCCGGGCCCCGACGGCATTGCTGCAGGTATTATATTGGCTTGCGGTGCAACCATTAGATATTTTCCGGTCCGTTCCTACCCGGGATCGTCAATCCTGCTCCTGGCCGCCTCGAGTGCACATCATCGTTTCCGCAATTGGCGGCGGGCTGAAGCGAAAGACCGTTTCCTGGATTTCACGGCTTTCTTCCCGTTCAGACCCCTAATTTCTCGGGCAGACAAGCCTCTGCTGAATCGCTGGCCCGCCCGAGAACTCCTAGGGACGGCCACTTGGAGACAGCAGATGCCGTCCCAAAACTAACCGGGACTTTCCCTGACAGTGTGCAAACCACACACTGGACGTTTCCGTCTAGAAACCCGGCAGAACGGGATCCATGCGTGGTGTGCGGAGAGGATGGCGCCGTGTCGGAGGGTTCATCGGCGACGTACCGTTTTCGTTTTGGACAGGCCTGCTTCACGGTACACAGTTTAACGTCAGCTTGAGTCGAGCAAAGACAGTTACGGCGCCAAGCCATTTGTCGCAAGACGTTCGGCGGGGTGCAGATATCGAGACCCTGGCGTGGAGAGCAGCCCACCCCACTTTCAGTTCCACAGACTTTTCTTCGATGGCTCTCCCCTGCAAGCAGGGGGGGCAGCAAGCTCCCACATCCCGGCAACTGGCACCATGGGTGTCGGTCACCCCAGGGCCGTTAAGCCATGGGTGTGTGAATGAATCGGAGCGCATTGCAAAGGGCAGCAAGGATGGGTGAATCTCTCTGGGACCAATATATGGCACCCCCCGGAGCCCGTCTCTTTCCCCCACAAACAAGAGGTCCCCGAATTGCTGCTTCCTGGCTCTCGCTTCCCGACGTAAAGCAGAGCAGTCATAATAATAATCCTTTCGTTTTCCGGGACACCACTCGTTGTCCAGTCGAGTCCAGTCAGTTCCACGTCGCTGACAGACCGCGGTGCTTCGTATTGGTTCAACTCGAACGCGCACCCCCTCCCCGCCGCCATCGCATCTCGCCGCCACATCCAGCATCCACCATTATCTCTCTCATTGCGCGCCCCGGCCCTTGCTGCGGATGCCCTCGCCCATACGTCCGGGACGGCATCTTCCCGGCAGCCTATCTGGCAAGTGTCAGTGGATGTCGACCTGTGGCCGCGACACCCACTCTCGGTATCCACCCATTGGCGAGTTGTCGCAAATCCTAGGTAAGGAGCGAGAGATCCAGGTCGCCCACCATGAATTTCTACGCAGCCTCCAATATGCCCGTGTACCGGGTGGAACGGGAGACACGCCAAAAGAGCTCCAAACAGGGTTCCAAAACGTCGAGGATCCTCGGCATCCCGAGTCCACAAAGGGACACCGCGCCACCCCCCGTCAGACCTGTCACGTCATCCGATGTTGTGCCGCACAACTCCCTATCCATCGACCAGTTCCTGGACCCTGCTGTTGATGGCCCGCCGTCACCGGAGACTCTTCGCGAACTGAGCCAGCAGATGAAGCGGGCGTCTGTTCGCGACAAGCACCAAAGCCACCAGACCAGCTCGTCCGGCTCCTCGTCACTGCGGTCGCTGACTTCAGCCGACCGACCCTCGTGGGAGAACCCGCTCGACGGAAAGACGCTGTCAAGGAAATCCTCGGGACGGTCGACATCCAGCAGCATGCCTTCGCGGGAGCGGCCTGAGAGCGTGCAGATATTCGGCAAGACTCTCTTCAACCGGAGGCCGAAGGGGAGGCGCGAGAGCAGCGCCCAGAGCTCGTCAAGCTCCATGTATTCGACGGATGCTGTGGGTGACTCCGCGCTCCCGCCAGCTCAAACATCAAGCCGGGACTCGACCATCCCAGGGCTATTTGGCCTCCGCCGGAGCATCAAGCCGGACCAGGCCGCCGAGACACAACGGAGACCCACCATCTCTGGGCCGTACAACTTCCAGCATGTGGCCCATACCCAAAAAGAGCACGCCCTCGATTCGCAACACGGCAGCCTGGTAACGCTAGGTTCCGAACCCGCGCATCTTCGAGGTCATGGAGGGCCAAAGGACGCGAGGTCAGATGAAGCGCACTTTGCCGACTTCTCGTCTGAGTCGCTGCTACTGGACGACAGACGCCATGATCCCCGCTTCAGAAGTTCCGGCGAACAACAACTCTCACGAGACCTCATCCGTCTTGGAAAAAACGTCCGTCGTTCTCGGCGACTTCTCAATCGACCCTAAAAGCAGGAACAATTGAATTTGCATACCCCCCCTCCGCGTCCTCCAAGGTCTCCTGTTGACCAGTTCGCTCCAAATGGTGTCCACGCACCTCCGCGTGGCCCTAGCCGCGTCTTGGGTGGTCGTCATGAGCGCTTTGACTCGATAGACGGGCCATATGCCGACCCCGGGAGTCCTCCTTCGACGTCATATGGGTACACGCCGGATATGGACATCATCCACGAACATGCCTATTCTGCGTCCATGAGCCCGCATGACGACGCCAACTGGCCCCTGCCCTGCCCCAGCAGCACCGCCTCCGAATATACGCTGCCCAACGTGCCCGAGGAGGATGAAAATGCCGTGACGACGAAGAAGTCCCGTGCAAGTGTTGCCAGCAATTCATCCCTTCGCGGAAGCCAGTCGGTCCCGATGTTGAGGGGACTTGCCTCCCGCCAGAAAGATGACTCGGACCGCCGCCCAAGTGATGCTTCCGACACCCTGGGCCGGTTTGATATGGTGGCCGCCCAGCTGGCTCTCAGGGAAGCGCTAGGCGAGAACGGAGACGCGTTGCCTCGGGAGGCTTGGGAGGACGATATCGACTATTGTTATGATCACGAGGCAGAGGCGGATTGCGACTATGAGTGGAGCCGCCCATCCCTCGAAACATGCAGAGATGGCGACACGGCCACGCCGGTTGACGACCATGGGCGCGGCGTCGAGTCTCGCGGGGCCTCTCCTGCTCTGCTGATGCCTGGGCAGTTCGATGTGCCGGCTCTTAGTCCCGTCAGTCAACTTTCTTTGGCAACCCCGCAAGAAGCGATCACCCCCACGGTGATGAACAATCCCAAGGCATCAAACTTCTCCTTGCCGAGAATCGACTCCAAGAACCTGCTTCACGTGCGGAAACCGTCTGACGCGTCCAGCTTCAAAGAATCCCACGGCTTCACCCTGTCTCCGTCTCTCCTGATTCCCATGGACTACCAGCAGCAGATGTTGGCCTGCGAGGCGGAAAGGCAAGAAGAAGCCTCTGACTTCGCTTTTCGCCCTTTCGACGAGCCCGAGCTGAACATGGACCCATCGGCACTCCTCCTTCGGTATCGTACCAGCGCTTCGACGACCGGCACCATCGAAAGCAACAGCTCCGCGTTTGATAAACACAACTCGACCGCCTCCACGTCGACTGACTACACCAGGCTAACAGCGAGCGTGTCTTCACTCGACATGGAACCTTGTCTCCCGACAAGTGAACCGCTGCAGCGCTTCCCATCATTCGAGTCCCACAGCAGGGGCGAGAGTAAGGCTGTCATGCCCACGCTCCCCGAGTCGGAAGAGGCAGCTCAGCCGTCCACCCGCCGCCCTCACTTCAAGAGCCGTGGGAGCGAGTCTAACCTTGTGAGGATGGCCATGGACGAGCCTTGGCCGGGGAAGAACAAGCCCACGATTTCGGCTAGGCGCGGGCGTGCTAGGACCACGAGCCTTAGCACACCGCCCCCGGCGAACCAGTATGCCTTGTTCCCGCAAGTGCAACTGAGCGGAAACCGAATCTAAAGAGATCGGCTTCATCAGCACACGACACAGCCACACACACCCACATATATATACCGAAAAACACAAACCACTCACCTGGGAAGCAGCACTCCGCTCCCGTCGTCATCAGAGCCCACAGAGAGCTCTGTCCTCATACCATTTCCTTTTTTTGTTTTAAAAACACGTCCTGTCGTTGTCTCAATTAGCATCTGGAAGCGGATGGGAATCAAACCATAGACTTGGGATGGATGGTGCGGGTTTGGCACCAACGGCCGGGCGGCGCAAACTGAAAAGCAGTTGTCATCTTTTCTCTCCTTACCTCTTGTCCAGGACGGACTTTCGTCCTATATTGCACCGCTGCCCCCTATTTCCCTTATCTCTCGACTTCTTGACTCTCACTCGAGATCTTGGTCACTACCACACATTGTCTTCCCTCGACATCATTTTCTTAACACAATACGGTGTGTATGGGTTGGATTGGAAAGACTGTATCAGGTTAGGAAAACCGCGCACTCACTGTCCGATATTTTTCCTTTTTTCTTTTTCTTTCGGCTTCGTTTTACATATTTTCCCTCGCCCTTTTGGACGGACAACCACTCTCATGTCCTCATTGTCGGCGGCACCAACATCGTTTTTATATCCGCGAGGGAGCGGGAGGAAGGAAGCATCGATACCACAGCGGCAGCAGCGCCTGGGGGATGGGGATGGGATGTATAGGAGAGACGGAGACCGGCAGCATCTTGGGCCCCCACTCGCCAATGCACAGGCAACCCAATCACGGCCCGACCTCATGTCAGCTCGACTGGGCTGTCATGGGAAGGAAAACTGGCGAGCCGAAGGGGAGCTTCCTTTGCTGTCGAGTTTTGGGTATGAAGCGATGACGGATATGATTGATGATAGGAAAAGGGGGTGGTTGCTTAAGAAGGAGGGGTGATGGGGTCTTCAATCATTAAGAAAGGGGAATGGGGAAAAAGAACCCAGAAAAGAAGAATAAATCGGTCGGATGGGGTTGATTGGGTAGACAAGGTAGAAATGGAATTTCGAACGGGACGGCGAGGCCACCGCTGTGTATCTGCTTCCAAAAGCGCTCTTCCCTGCTCTCTGTTGCGTCGCAGACCACCAGGTTTATAATATACAACAACAAAGATCCAACGCACACAATACCTAGCACAAGCAAATCTCCCTCCTTCCTGCAAGGCCTGGAGGTCCCACCCAGCCCCGTGAGATCCAGTTAAAGCTATGGTTATGTGGGTAGCAAGCCCACAAAGCAACGATGCTTTTGAAGATCTTCCCGCCCCGATCCCACGTGGTCCTGCATGTCTGAGCTGGCGGCCCAAAACGCCGGCCCTTTGACCTGCTCGATTGGATTAGGGCTGCAGAACTAGCCCCGGGGCCAGACGTCATCAAATCATCATCGGCCCCCCTTTCCCTGGGTTTGGGCGAGCCCTGCTCCCTGGTGAGGCTCTGTCGCTGGTTGTTGGAAATGCAGATAAACGTCTTGGTAGCAAGCTGACGCTGGTTAAGATGGCAGATGGGTGGTTGATAACTATCGGGTCCGGGAGTCTCTTTCGAGGTGGACGGCTAACTGCAAGCAAGGGTGTTTTGGTTGGTTAGGGTGAAGGAAGAGATACCCCACGGCGATGGGTTTATGGCATGTTGACTGCCACGGATGGCGGTTGAGTCATCAACTACGAAATACGCGAGGCATCAACACACCACCCACGAGCATGGGGGCATCGCAAGTCACAACTACATCCCGGCAGACCATTCGCGACACCCGCTCGGATGTTGATTATACTATCACGGCGGCCGCGGCCTCTTTCGGGTACGGTAACCAAGCCAAACCAGACGCCTTCCCCCCAAACCGCCCAGAACGCCCGGTATATAGTAACAACACAACACACGGCCAGAACAGCCAGCACCCGAAACCCCCCTAAAACTCCTTTGAACGCCACCACCAAATCCGGCGCACACATATTGTGTATAGCGCACATCCCACCTTCCCAGTGAAGGCGTCGAGCGGAGGGTTCAGGTCTCGAGACCACGGCAGCTGCACCCGACCGACCGACCACCATTTTCTATCCTCCCAAGCCAAACCCAGGGGACCCAACCCCGTCCCCCAAGCACTGCATCACGCAGCGATTATGTAGGTATATGCCCTCAAGCCGAAGAAGCAACTGAAAAACACCACCGTGTCGTGCCGTGCCGTTCCGTGCTCTAGCCCCTTCCAGGAACACACAACAAGCAAGCGAAACCCAGATAGAAAAAAAAGCAACACCAACCCCAACCAACCCCTTCAAGCACATCTACGCACGATCACGATCACGGCCACGGTCCCAGACCACACGCCATAGGTCACACCCACCCAGCACCGCCCCAGACACCGCGTATCCTGCGGGCGAGCTGGATGTCCTTCTGCATGATGGTGACGCGCTTGGCATGGATGGCACACAGGTTGGTGTCCTCGAACAGGTGCACAAGGAAGGCCTCGGCGGCCTCCTGCAGGGCCAGGATCGCCTGCGACTGCCAGCGCAGCTCCTCGGCGGAGGGCTGGTATTGGAGGGCGATTTCGCGGACCTGTTGTTTTGTCAAGGTGTTAGTGGGTGGGTGGGTATGGGTGGGTGGTTTTGAGGTGGGGGGGCGGTTGGGGAGAAGGGGGGCAGGGGGCGTACCAGGCGGGAGAAGGGGAGCTTGAGCATGAGGAGGTCGGTGTTGGCTTGGTAGCGGCGGATTTCTTTGAGCGCGACGGTGCCCGGGTGGTAGCGGCGCTTTTTGGGGCGCGGGACTGGGTCGCCTGCTTTGGGGGGGTTAGCAAGGGATTAGGGGGGATTGG